GCCTCCCCCTCTGTCCCTCATCCCACGGCCCACCTCATGGAAGGTGCCCAGGGCTAGGGATACTCACCACCCCCTGGAGGGAGGGAGGGATGAGCCCACAGTACACGGGGATGAAACCGCTGCAGACATTGGCCTTCAGGACAGGGACAGAGTGGGAGAGAGTGATCAGGGTCCTTGAGGTTCACACTGCGCCCACCCCCAAGCATGGCTCCACCAGGCCCCACCTGGATGAGCTCGTCCTTGGAGTTGAAGTGGGATATAATGACATTCTCGCCGTCCGACACGCGGGTCAGGGAGATGCCCAGGCGCCCACTGGCATGCTCATGGCTATCAGCAGGCAGAACCTTCAGCAGGAAACTGCGGATGATCTTTACCAGGTTGAAGGAGGGGTGCAGGGGGCCCAGGAACCGCTTCCGGGCCTCTTTAGATACCTCAATGAACTTGGCACCAGCCTCACCTGGGGCACAGGGCCAAGGTTAGGGGCCCGTGCTCCTGGGCTTTGCAACCCACCTTCCTTCATAGCCCCATGTCCAGGGTTCCATGGCATACAGACCCTGGAGGAGGCCCAGTGCATGTGGGACCTGGCTTATAGTTGGGACTTTGGCCACCTTCCCTGAGATGGCAGACAGCTGAGGCTGGCCAGCTGAGACCAGGACCTGCCCTCTGCCTGGTATTTCCCAACTGTCTGTCCCCATGAGTCACTGGGCCTGGTGTGGCATCTAGCCCAGGAGTGGGGACAAGGCAGAGACTCAACTCTGACCAGCCTTAGCCTTCACCCACTTGGCCAGATTCAGCAGTGGGGGGATGGGGCAGACCCACAAAGCCCAGCCCGGCACACAGGTCACAGTTCACAGGCCCGGGCGTGTTGGGCTGGAAGTAGTCAGGACCCAGTTCCTAAGAAGGCACACCTGTGTCCCACTGCAGCCAAGAGGAAGCACCCCAAACACTCCTTTTAGGCCCAAGGGTGCTGGCCAGCTTGGGGCTAGTCCCTGGAAGGGGTCTGGAGCGTTGTGGGAAGAGCTGAGGTCCAAGCCCCTCCTCCAGTGCATCACTCTTGTCAGGAGTGGGGCAGTGTGGAGGCAGGAGCTCCTCAGACAGCACCTGCTGCACTATGGGCTCCAGCTGTGCAAGACCACCCGTGAGAAGGAGTCTTGTTGGGAGCAGGGTGGGGAAGCTATGGGAGAAGTGTCCTTGGCTGGGGCAGCAGGGACCTTGATGTGTCCTGAAGCCAGGGGGCCGACTGAGGCGCTTGTCTGAAGGCCTCCAATAACAGCTGTAGTTATTGGGACCTGGGGGGTTCACTTCTGTGGTCCAGCCCCCTCCCTCCCAGGACAAAGTTCAGAGGAAGAGGGCAGGGGTGAACCCCGGACAAGCTCCTGCTGAGCAGTGTGCCTGTCATTTCGGGTGTCCTCACAGGCTAGGAGCTGGGCAGCAGTTCCCAGGACTCCTGAAGTTACGTGCATCGCCATGGCTGCTGCTTGAGTAACACAGGGGAAGTGGGGTAACAGGCGGTGGCAGGGCAAGGGCCTGAAGAATGGCTCTTGGCGGCCTCCCCCTCTGTCCCTCATCCCA